CACACACACACACACACACACACACACACACACACACACACACAGACACACACACACAGATTATTTTTATATTAATGACTTTATAAATTATCCCTTAGAGACTGACGTGTTGCAAACATTATTCATTATTTTGTTTGTATTTCATCCTTTTCATTTTATATTTTATATCGTTTTTGTTTGGAACAGATAATTTTTTCCCTAGTCAAAATATTGGAACACTATATTCATGCTATGAATTAAGTCCCATTCACTTCCATACCCGCCCCTGTCTACTCCATAGCCACCTCCCTGTGGGTAACCATGTTCATCATTTATTGTGCAGTCTTCAGTGCTTATGTAATTACAAGCAAACACACATATACAATCTCGTTTCCTCCTCTTTCTTATAAAAAGTAGAATGTCATCTACAATATTCTTGAGGTTTTTTTTAAACCTAGAAAAACATCCTAGAGATCTTTCTATATCAAAAGAAGGGAGCTTCATCATTCTATTTTTACACCTGTATAGTATCTCATTGTGTGAATGTGATTCACCTGATTTCATCAAATTTATAGTGATAGATATTTGTTTTGTTTCCAGTTTTTCACTATTAAGTACAAAGTTGCAATACATATCCTTGTAACTATATTTTTATTTTGTATGTGACCAAATGCATGTAAAATCTATTTATTGAGGTAAAATTGCTGAGACAAAGGATAAGTGTATTTGTAGTTTTGATAAATATTGCCATAATTTTCTACATACTATTTTTCATTTTACTAGCAATGTTTAAAACTACCATTGTTGACCAAATTGTGAATTATTACCATATGATGAATTAAAAAAATGGTATTTCACTCTGGTTTTAATTTACATTTCACTTGTCATGAGAAAAAGTGTACAAATGGTTTAAGGACCATTTGTAATTATTTTATTATGTGACTATTTATTTATCCATTCATATCTATACTCAGTTTATCACTAAACTACTGTCTTTTTAGATCTATTATTAGAATTTTAATATATATTCAGGTACAATTCCTTTGTATTCTATATAAGTTGTCAATTTTAAAAGCAGATTATTATTATTCTTTTGATGTTTCTCATTTTTTCATATAAAACCTAAACTTTTTTATTATTCATTAACATTATTTATCTTTTATGTATTAGATTTTGAGTCATATTTATAAAGATCTTCTCTGTGATTTTATACAGACATTTGTCTATATTTTCTAGTTCTTTCAAAAATGTGCGTATTTGAATTTTATTTTAGTCTACTGCATAAAGCATGGCTCTAACACCATCCTTTTCCCAATAGCTACTGACATCATTTTTTTAAAGTATCCTTTTCCCACCAAATTGAGACATTTTCTAAATACTACATGTATCCTATTATGTTTCATTGGTCTGACTATTCAGTACTATACTATAGACTGTTTTTATCTTGGGTAAAGCTTGGTCCCCTTCACCTCTCTTTATCTTTAGAGATTTTCTGACTAATTTTGCTAGTGTATTTTTTATATAAATTTAAAAATCAATCCTAGGGTAGTGGGGGAGGGACCTGCAGACACTTTTTTCCTAGTCATGTGAACTTTATAAATTAACTTAGAGAAAATTGACCATTTTACGTTGTAAAATATTCTAAAGCAAGAAACTGCTAACACCATTTGCTCAGATCCACTTTGCTGTCTTTTAGTGTTTCTCTCCTATATAGTTTGCACATCTCTTACCATGGTGCTACAGTAAATATAAAATCAATACGTTTTTCTTATATATTCAAACTGATCATTATGTATATATATATGAAGAAATTGCATTTCTTATGCTTATTTATACTCTGTAACTGCATTCTTTATTTTTTGATAATAGTTTTTCATTTGATTCCCTTAGATTTCTCAGATATTTAATTATATAGTCTGGACATAATGGATTTACCATTTTCCTTCATATTTCTAATTTGTCCAAGACAATAGACATGGAAGGACCCCCCCCCCAAAAGGACTGTATATGAAGACTTACAGCAAAACTCCTAAGAAATCCCAGAAATATTTACAAGGAAGTCTCACAGAAGGTCAAAGTTACAGAGGGACAAGTCAGGGTAGGAGCCAATCAAGTTTTGAATTATTCCTAATTAATGAAAGACTTCCTTAGTACCCACATGCTGGTGTTGTGGCTTATAGAAGGAACCTAAAATAACCATCACAAATTCACCCTTAACAGTTTAGCACCCATATGCATCTCTTTAAGCTATACTCAATCTTCAAATAAAGAAGGAACATATAAACTGTCAACATTTTAATATTTATTGTCTTTGAGACCTAGTGCATAAATAATCTTTTCCAAACAATTCACGGATATTTGGGAGAAAGTAACTTCATTTGTTTTTACTCAAGAAATCTGTATTAGTCAGTGTTCTCCAGAGAGTTAGAAGCAAAACAATGAATTATGATAGATAGATACATACATACATACATACATACATACATACATAGATACATAGATAGAAAGGAACTTGGCTTACATAATATGGAGTCTGAGAAGTCCCACAATAGGCTGTCTGCAAGTTGGGGAACCCAAGAAGCCAGAAGCATGGCTCAATTCAGGTCCCAAAGCCTCAGAGTCGAGAAAGGTGATGGTGTAATTATCAGTCAAAGGTTGAAGGCTTAAGAATTGAAGGGACCTCTGGTATAAATCCTGGAGTCCCAGGGCCAGAGGAACTAGAGTTCTGGTATCCAAGAGCAGGAGCAAGAGAATGTTCCAGCTCCAGCAAAGAGAGAGAGAAAATTCTTTTCTCATTTTATTTTATTTTATTTTATTTTTTGTTCTATCTGGGCTCCCAACTAATTAGATGGTGCCCACTCACATTGAGACTACTGCATCCACCCACTCACAATCACTCTCCTCTGGAAATAGCTTCACAAAAGCATACAGAAGGAATGCTTTATTAGTTTCCTAGGTATTCCTTAATCCAGTCAAATCAACACCTAAAATAACCATCACAAGTCCATCCTTATCAATATAGCACCCATATGCATCTCTTTATAATATACTCAATTTCCAAATAAAGACGTATAACAAGTTCATAGTTCTGCCTAGGATAATACAACTATCTGAAGTACAACCAAAAAGGCAATAACCCCTTCCCCAGAAAAGGAGCTAGAGTCCTTGGGTGATGTTTACTCTACTTGTTACATCCCATAGCAAGAGTTATTATGATATAAATATTATGCAATAAAAATAACAATATTTAAACACTAATATAAAGTTAATATATGCTCTATGATAAAGAAATAAAAGAGGAACAAAACAAAAACATTTGCTTAATATATTTGTATATACCCATAAACACATTCTTAACAAAATGAGGAGGAAATGCTTATAACAATTAACATCGTTGTTTCTGTGACTGGTCATGTGGTCATAGCTGGTATTTACAACTACCTTCTTCTACTACCCATTCTGTATTCCCTTTGTCTTCAAAAAACATCTCAGCTGACCATGACTCATTACCTGAAAGAATGACTCAACCCTTCATTCTTGATGGAAATTGGGCCACTCTTGTCCTGCCTGGACTGAGTTGTAATTTCTCATTGACCTTAATCACAAGACATGATAAAACTAAGAGATATCCTAAAAGATTTCCTATAATCCAGACATACTCTTCCTTGCCTCCACTTTGAAGTAGTCGTCCAAGTTTCCTTTGGTGATCTGGATTAATTACCTCAGCCAACACCATCTCTTATTAGCCTGTTGACTCAGAAACATAAGTCCAAAGCAGTCAAGTGGCAATCTCAATTTCCAGTTCAGTGGGATCATTGTTGTGCATCCTGGTAGCAGCATTTCTCCCTGTGGAACTAAGACCTCTAGGCCAGCAGAGGATAAAATCTCAGGAACAGGAAACTACAGTTTTACTAATAAGTCACTAGGGGTAGTGATGAGTGGAGTCACTCCCGTTTCTACCCTTGATTCCCAAACCTGTCAATCCTGACTGTGGGATAAAGAGTACCATACATAGGACATTGATTTCAAACATATACACCTTCTAGAGAACCTTGTCTCTGCCCTAAAAAGTATTGTTGCCTAGCTGGCTCTGTAACTGCAATTTCAAAAGTCCATTTGACTATCAAGTCAGCAGCTTCAGCATGATGTAAAATGTGGTAAAATCAATGAATTTCATGAGCATGAGCTCACTGCCACAATTATTTAACTGTGAAGTGAATTCCTTGGTCAGAAATAATGTTGTATGAAATACTATGATGTGGTGGATACGGCATTCTGTAATTCCACAAATGCTTGTTTTGGCAGGAGCATTGCATGCAGGGAAAGCAAATCCATATTCAGAGTGTCTGTTCCAGTAAGTACAAAACACTGCCCCTTCCATAACAGAAGTGGTCCAACGTAATCAACCTCCCAGGTAGCTGGCTATTCATCCCAGGAAATGGTGCCATATTGGGAGCTCAGTGTTAATTTCGGCTGCTAGCAGCTTGAGCACACAGAGGTGACTGTAGCCAGGTTGTCCTTGGTGAGTAGAAGTCTATATTGCTGAACCCATGCATGATCTCCATCTTTGCCACTACAAACACTTTGCTCATGAGTCCTCTGGGCAATGACAAGGGTGGTTGGGAAAAGAGACTGTATAGTATCAATAGAACAGGTGATCTTATTCACTTAATTATTAAAGTCTATCTCTGCTTAAGACGCTCTTTGGTGAGCATTCACATGGGACACAAATACCTTCACACCTTTTTCCCATTCAGGAAGATCTATCTACATATCTCTTCCCCCAAGTTTTTTTGTCACCAATTTTCAAGTCATGTTTCTTTCAAATCCCTGACCATCAGGCTAAACCACTGGCTACAGCCTATGAATCAATACATAATTACATACTTGACCATATCTCCTTCTAAACACAGTGCACAACCAGGTACAATGCCTGAAGATCTACCTTTTGAGATTTCCCTTCACCATTATCCTTTCAGGGATGCCCCAGAAAGGGGCTGTAAGGCTGAAGCCATCCAATTTTGGGTGATCCTCGTTTGTTGTGCAGAACCATGTGTAAACCAGGTCTTTCTTACTCTTCACTTTCTCTGTCAACTCATCATAGTGTACTTCCCATAAGGCCATAGATTCGAGCTGGAAGAGAGAAGACAGTGTGGCAGGAATAGGGACCGGGATATTTGGACCAATTCTTCATGTAATTTTCTTATGCCTTCAGAATCTGCTCAATCTCAAACGCATACATACCACTTCCATTTTATGATGGAGTGCTGGGGTGTACCCACCCTTATTGCTTTTTCAGTCAAATAGCACTAAATATATGATAGGCAATTAGGCTACATGGTAATTTGTTGACCCATAGTCAAGTGTTTAGTTTCTACTAAGCAGGACAAGATCTGTCCCTCAGAAAAAGAGTAGTTACCTGCAGATGATGACCAGGCTCTGCTCCAAAATCCTAAGGGCCTCTGCAGTGAATCACTTATAGGCACCTGCCAGAGACTCCAGACAGCATCTCTATTTACCACACACAGCTCAAGCATTATTGTTTCTGTTGAATTATATGGTCCAAATGACAGAGCAGCTACCACAGAAGCCTGGACCTGTTGCTGAGCCTTCTCTTATTCTGCAAACCACTCAAAACTAACAGCTTCTCAAATCACTTGGTAGATGGAGCAGAGTAACACATTCAAATGGGAAACGTGTTGCCTCTTAAATCCAAATAGGTCCACTAGACATTATGCCTTTTGCTTGATTGTAGGAGTGGTCAGGTGCATCATCTTATCCTTTACCTCTGAAGGGATATCTTGACGTAGAACGCCTCTGAATTTGGGTCAGATTTATTTCCAACACTCTAACATACAAATATCTTATCAAGAAGTTTAGAGTAGCTGTGACTTAATGCTCACTAGGTCTAATCTGCATACAAATAATGTCATCAAAGTAATAGACCAGTGTGATATCATGTGGAAGGAAAAGGTAATCAAGATCCCTATGAACTAAACTGTCATAGGACTGGAGAGTTGACATACCCCTCAGGTAGTACTGTGAAGGTGGATTGCAGGCCTTGTAGTCTGAAAGTAAACTACTTCTAGTGGCCCTTATTAACAGGTATGGAGAAAAAGTCATTTGCCAGATCAATAGCTACATATCAGGTATCAGGAGATGTGTCCATTTTCTTAAATAATTAACCACATCTGGTATAGCAACTGCAATGGGAGTGACCAGTTGGTTAAGATTCCAATGATCCGCTATCATTGACCAGGGTCTATTTGTCTTCCGCAAAGGCCAAACAGGAGAGTTAAATGAGGATGTGAACAGAATTACCACTATACCTTTTAAGTCCTTAATAGTGGCATTAATTTCTGCAATACCTCTAGGTATATGGCATTGTTTTTGATTTACTATTTTCCTAGATGGAAGTAATGCTAATGGCTTCCACTGACCTTTCTCATAATAACCCTCACTCCACAGGTTATAGAAGCAAGGTGAGGATTCAGTCAGCTGCTAAGTAGATCTACTCCAATTATGCTTTCTGAAACTGGAGAAATAGCCACAGGATGAACTCAGGAACTTACTGGACCCACTGTGAGCTGGATCTGAGTTAAAACTCCAATGATCATCTGACCTTGATGAACCTCTACTCTAACTGAAGGGCCACAGTGACATTTTGGGTCTCCTAGAATTAATGTCAGTTCAGAGCAGTGTCTAATAATCCTGAAAGTTCTGATTATTTCCTCTTTCCTAATGCACAGTTGCCTTGGTAAAAAGCTCTAAGTCCCTATGGTGAAGGATGGGAGAAAGACTAATAGTATACGTTTTTGGTAGTGTACCAGGGTCCTTCTTGGAGTAGACCTGGACTTCCTTTAGTCATGGGGTTCTTGGCTCAAGTCTGGGAATAGAGGGAAGAACCATGGTTCTCTGTATGATTCAAGTTAGGCTTTTATTCACTTGACCTGAGAGTTTTCTGCTTATACAGTAAACTAAGAATTTGAGCAATTCTTAGTCAAGTAAGAATTTAGTAGGCATTCCATCTATTTCACTTCTAGAAACACTGTGATTAACTAGCCAATGCCATAGACCTACAGGAGTCAGACTATTCTGACTGTCTCATTTTGTCTCTGCTGTCCATTATGGTAACTACACCCACCTTGACTTTGACAGTTGAGTGCCACCGTTTGGCCTTTCCAATTATTCCCACTGTATTTAAATTTTCCATCTGAATGACTCTGGTTTCCACTGTAAGGTCTGGCCTACAGAGAAGAGCAATTATGGAGCTCTTCAGGAATTCTGTGGTTCCCCACACAAATCTCTTTCTCGTCATCTATTTTCTTATTTATTTTAGTGTCTAGTTGATCTGTCAAAAATTAGAGAAGTGTAATAAATCCTCCCAAATCTGATATGTTTCTATGTATATCTCTTGTTTCCTCAGTTGGAACTGCATCTATTTTGGCATTTTGTTTTTCAGCACATAACAGGCTTATGAGGATTACAGCTTTCATGAAAAAATACTCCTTGTACTGTATCTATGCTTTCTGCCTTGAATTTTACTTTGTCTCATATTAATGTTGTCATCTCTACCTTTATATAGTTTGAATTTTTCCAGTTAACTTTGCATAT